GAGTGCAGTGGCATGATCTCAGCTCACTGCAACCTCCGCCTCCCAGGTTCAAGCAATTCTCCTGCCTCAGCCTCCTGAGTAGCTGGGATTACAGGCGCCCGCCACCATACCCAGCTAATTTTTTTATTTTTAGTGGAGATGGGGTTTCACTATGTTGGCCAGGCTGGTCTCAAACTCCTGACCTCGTAATCTGCCCACCTTGGCCTCCCAAAGTGCTGGGATTACAAGGTGAGTCACTGCGACCAGCCAATATTTTTTTATTTTTTAAGAGTCAGAGTCTTGCTACATTGACTAGGCTGGTCTCGAACTCCTGGACTCAAGCCGTCCTCCCACCTTAGAAGTGCTGGGATCACAGGCACGAGCCACCATACCTAGCCTATAACTATCACTTTCTTATGCCTCTCTGCTTTCTCTTTTCTTCCATTATGGGAACATCATTCTCCATAAAGAAGTAGTTTTTGTCCCTTCCTAAGTATGCCTGCTAATAGAAGCAATAAGCAGAGAACAGAGCTGCAAGGAGGACAGACATTAGGTTGTCCGCCGGGGTCTATTCTGTTAGCAGCCTGCTTAAAATGCTCCAAAACATCCAACTCCCTGTCCCGTCCAAAAGGGCTCTATGCAGTCTGACTGCAGCCTCTTCCAGCCCCACCCCTGCCTGACTTGCTGTGCTTCAGCCACACAGGCCTTCTGAAAGCTCCCAGAGCCTACCTGCCTCTTTCCCACCATAGGCCTCTGGACCAGGAAGTGTCTCCCTCATTTCTTGCCTGGGCAGCGCCTTCTTATCCTCCAGGTCCCTCCCTGGGCTACCCACTGTTTCCGATGCTTTCCCACTGCCCTTCTCACAGCGCCCCGACTGCTTCACCTCTCTCAGGCCGTAATCGTAGTTGTTTTCTTCCCAGGCTGGAGTGCCATGGTAGGATCTCGGCTCACTGCAACCTCCACTTCCCAGGTTCAAGTGATTCTCATGCCTCAGCCTCCTGACTAGCTGGGATTACAGGCATGTACCGCCATGCCTGGCTAATTTTTTTTTTTTTT